CTGTCTAAATAAATCGTCGAATTCGATAATTATGAGGATACGAATACTCGTGTGATTCGTTGTAAATACATAGATTGCGAATGTTTATGCATTTATGAAAAATTTAAATATACTCAAATATATGGAATAGAATATCATGCAATACATAATATGCAAGAATATAGGAAATATCGAAAATATAAATATTTTTAAAGGATGAAGGAATCTATTTAAGGTTCTATTTAAGTTTTACTTCGTTAACGATACAAATAAAAATTTGAATTTGTATAAATATCCGCGGTATAGATATAAATTTCTGAAATATAATTTTAATATATCTTTACCTGACAGGTGTCTTTTCCGGCTTCACCGGCACAAATTTGCCACTCATCCATAATACCACGTATGAATTTACTTTCGTACACGAATGATTTGTTGCATACCGGTTGAGCTATCAAATTAATGGTAACTTTCAATAAATCTTTTGATGGGTCGTCAACTAGGAAAAAATTAAAGATTGAAATTAAAGATCGAACGTTATTTTATTAAACCTTTAACGGTGTAATAAAACGGCTAAGAATTCAGAATAGAGGCTTTCTTAAATTACACTATTAAAAAGTTGAAGTAAATAAAGATTCCTTGATCTATCGTACTTACGAAAATCAACTCTTCCCCATCCGGATGCAGTTGCTTTACCATCGGTACCAATATCCGGCAAAGAATATGGTAAGCAACTGGGTCTTATCCACGCGTTAAATTCCACGTCTTTTTCTAATTTTAGTAGCGCGATATCATGATATGCGAATCGACTCTGGTACTTATTATGTTTTATCCGTTCAATAATAAGGTAATTTTGCGGTCTCGCGTCATCATCCGTTCTCTCGAGGTTTAAGTCACCTAATCGTACCCAGCGAGCTTTACCTCTATAAAGAATTACATCTTAATAATTAAATGGCATACACATATTATTTTATTCCTGGGAGTTATTTCGTTGTTTATTTTATTAGTCCTTATATATTATCTTCTCGCTGACTTATGCTACCGTAAATAACTCTATCGTAATGATATTCGCATTATTCTCGTTTTTAATACTTTTTCTTGTTGAGTCTAAAGTACATGATATACCGTCATTCTTCCGTTACTATATTAAAGACTAACGATATCTCATGAGATACAACAAGTTCGATTATTCCATGCGAAAGTTCAAGATTGCATTTTAAGGTGTCGAAGCTTGGATGACTTGAATACAATTTGAAATTCCTACCCGTACATACTGTAGGTACAATGTGCAGCGGTTAGAACGAATCTTTCCGAAATTAGCGTGCCTCCGCATTGCCAATCGATACCATCGTCGGTATCAAATCCAATCGCAGCCATATGCGGGAATTCCTTTGGTTCAGCCTTTGTACCACCGACGATCAGCTTACGAGTTTTAATCGCGCATACAGATATGTTGATTAGTGGGTTGTCAATTGTTAAAGTTGGCGAAGGTACGAGCTGATACACGGATTTGGCGTATTTTTCACACACTAAAACACACGAGTTTTAAAAGAGTCGAAGAAATTAAGTTTTTTGAAAATGAGAAATTTAATTCTTTAATAAAATTGAACAAATTTTAGGGAAGAACACCTACTTGCTTTGGCCTTGGCTCCTTTAGTAACGACTGATCCTCGATCTGTTGTAGTCGGGATTGTGTTTTTAATTGTGCTTGTGATTGTATTTGGAGAAGTAGTCGTAGGCGTGTCTTTTGGACAACACACGACCGGATGAAAATTTTTGTATCCACATAAACTAGATGGAGGTTTCCCTCTCAATAAATCTTGATAAACCGATGGACAATTCGCTGGAGAGAGGACTATACAAATACCTGGAGTACCATCGATAGTGCATAAATCGCCTGAAAATAATTATGAATGTTAGATAAAAAAGACGAAAACATCCTGTTTGTGTCCGAGAAAATTTAATGACTTTAACTACATATACAGCATTATCTGTATTTACCTACAGGGCTCGGTCGAACAACAATGTACAAGAGAGCATGAGATGCTTCCTTATGAAAAAATAAGAGGAAAATATAGAATAAAGTTTTCCATATGTTACCAAGTTAATTAAAAATAATCAAACTTGATTTTCTCAAGAACTAAGCTACGTAAAAATGTTATTCCATATTCTTCTTACTTTCTCATAATCTTTATTCGTAATTATACGCAGCTAAAACAGTTTCTCAAATAAATGTACAAGTATATTTATACTCGTGACCTGACAGAACCTTCTTCCGCTTTTAATTAATATTCGATGCTCTTTATCGTCGTTAAAATTTCCTGAATTATACGACTGTTCTAGCATTGTGTTAATGATGTTTAAGCTTCCAGTCACAACAAAAAGATAACAATAAGTCGGTTTAAACATTTCTTAAATGTTTTACGTTCAAATGTTATATTATAAATATCACTGAAGCGCGATATATAGAAATAGCATATAGCGGTTCAGGAAAATATATATAGAGACATGTCACGAATATTTATCACTTCATTAGAACTGTAATGTGATATAATTATTATGATCATATTGGTAAAAATTGAAATGAACCTGAGAATGCATATAGAAATTATAGAATAATTATTGCATGTTTTATATTAAACTTTATACAGGTTACTGCATAATTTGCACATTATTTAACGAAATCATCTTTATCACAATTATGTTTAAAATGTTTGAATAAAGACTTACTTACGAGGATATCTTTTTTATATACTTTTCTTATATTTTTCAGATTGGTCTCAAATCTGATCACAATGAAATCTCAAAAAGTTTCGCATAACTCGCATAATACGTTCATAAGTTTTCTATGGTAAATATTTGAATATTTTCGTGAATCGCTGTGTAATAAGCTTTTATTGTTATATCCTTTTATTTTTATCGATCTAATCTTAATAATCTTTCGTTTTGCTGTCTGAGAGAAAGCATCTGTTTACCTTCGTACTGTGCATTACAGGATATCGAACAACACAAAAGAACTGAGAAAAATATTATCGATGTTCGCGCTGATAATGGCATCGTCGTACTTTGCGCACAATCTTATTTTACTTCGTAGCCTTCGAATTCTACGCTTGTCTCCATTCGATGACTGCTTCGGGTCTTCCTTTGTCCGTCGTTTTTGTATGCCCCTCCATATCTCTATCATAGTTGGTAGTGGGATGAGCAAACGATCCATAATCCTTCTCGAATGCATACTGAAAAGTTCACAAACTGGTTAAACGAGGTAAACTAAAATCTTCGTATTCGATCAATTTCGTTTTAATATAAGATGATCAACGATACTAGGAATATTTTCAGTTCGTAGTAAAAATATCCGAACCCGTTGCACGGTTTATAAACGGTAACGGTACGTGAATTTTACAAAATTCTACTCGCTTCTACTTTGTGCAATCGTCAGAATGTTGAATTGTCTATTAAAAATTGTCTATTTATATATATTTGCTACTGAAATATTGCTTCTGTTAATATCTGGAGTTTTCCTATCAATTTAGAAGATCCTTGTTGATCTAACTTACAGTTTAAAAATTCGGATATCTGAGAAGCGTGCGAAGTAACAAAATAGTTCTATACTGTTTGACAAACACAAACGTCGGTTTTATTATTGCGTATTGGCTTTTGAAAATTAATTTAATCGTGCCATGATATTCTATCACTAGATGTATGTAATTATGATGATTGGGAAGAATGATCGGTAAAGGACGATTGTCGATATTGTAACCCGGTTCATCCATAACTTTGTAATTAAAATGAATCATTTTGAGCGGGACATAATATCACATACGCGTCGTACGTCGCTAATGCAATAATCATTCTTCATTTTTAACTCGTGTGGCAACTTCTTTGAAGGAAACTGTGATCGCGCGTGTTATGTCCAGTTTTAATTGCTTTTGCAGACGACACATTTGAAACAAGTGCATTACTGATATAATTACACCACGAATAACATAGGAAATGTACATATACAAAAGGCGCAAATGTGTTCGGTGCAATAATATTAAAAGATGTTAATCCAATCTAATCTAATCTATATCTAAAATGCTGTATATAATGTAATATTAATAAAGGATTATTTTTTTATCATTAATATATATTTAATATATGTTACATAATACTTGATCTGCTAACCGAAGAAAATTCGACGTTTGGATTCACAAATTGTTTATTTTATAGATCTACTATTTTCTTAAATAAAAAGATAATTATTTTCTTCTAAACCTAATTTTTGTAGGAATGAAATATGATAATTTTATTAGTAAATGATTGGTAGTTAGAGCTGTGCGAGAACCCGAAAATACTGGAAACGTGTCTCATAATTCTAGATTGTCGGGATTCTCGAGAATTATAAAATTATAAAGCAAATTATTTTATGATAAAATGTTATATCTAACACATGTTTCATTGTTATTTTTGCTGTATATTCTCGCCTATATAATTTTAAAATTGTCGAGGACCCGACTTTCTCGAGAATCTCAAAATTCTCGGGAATCCCAACAATATCAAATTACAAAATATTTTTGACAACTCGATCCGACCCTAAGCGATATTTTTTCGCACGCCTCTACCGATAAAATGCATAACAAGTAGCTGGGAATGAACATAAATAAAACACGATACCTGGAAAACAATGACGATAAAACATTGTGATTACGCAGAGAAAGTCATCTTTAATCATCGACAGCTTTGTTCGTGAGCAATTTTAAATAGTCAACCAAAGAAGCCGTATCGTCTGATTTACACGGAAAAATTTATTTTTGCTTCTATTTTTGTATCCATACGTTCCTAAACATCAGTATTGGGAAAAATAATAAGAAGCGATAGTAAATTTTACAGTATATTTTAATCCAATACAAATCATTAAATAACAATTTTTCACGGCTATCTATTTAGCTTATAGTACCTTCCATTTCGAGGATATAATTACTATTACATTTCTCTTTCAGCTGAAATATACAAATAATAAATTTCACAGTACGCAGCGATGCCGACTTAAAAATATTTTATTTCTAAATATCGTGTATTCATATACATAACACGATAGCATATTTACAATTCGGTATCTGATATATATGTATATATAAAGCATCTTATGCTATACAATAAAAAATCTAGTATGTCCATTTTTTCACATAGTCAATTTGCGCAGTCACGGCATCAATCATTTATAATAAAAGTAATATTAACGAATAATCGATAACCATAATAATAACAATACGCGATAAAAATCTAATTTCGAGTTACGAATACCAAATATTAATAAAATAAACTAAAAGAGGAACATATATCCTATCTAAACGAAACGAAACAAAGATATAATGTGATATAGCGTTTGAGAATAATTACATATATAATGATACGCTGCACACTATATCATGTTCATATCCAACGCAAAAGAATAATATATATATATAAAAGTTTGAACAAATTTTCATAAGCGAACTCAACGCTACATCTACCGCGACAGAGAGGAGAGTTTCGAAAAAATTATCGTCCAACCGGTTTACGCGTTATCCATGAAAAACAAACAGCTTGTGTACATAGGATCTATGTGTATATATATATAGATTGCAAGAAGCGCATCGCATATCTGCACTGCAAATTGTATCGAAACTCAAACCTGTGTCTTGCAAAAATTATTATATGTACAGTCTCTGTGTATCCGTGTTAAGTTATCAGTCTTACGGCTCTCAAGAGGAAATTGTACATTTTTTCTATATGTTACAGCGTATATGTTTCACATGCATGCATTCCTTAATCATTTCCCTTATAATGTACGTGTATATAACTAATTTTGAGACGGTGCGGTAGGTAGAACGAGTTTTAACCAGTTCTATACACTTTTCATCAAAAACGGACAACCGTATGCGCGATATTTAATATAAATTAATTACACTATAATGTAATGTTGCTAGGATAACTCTGGTTTATATATATATCTTGGCAATTGATGTATCTAGTGGGTCGAATGCATTAGCGTGTTGAAACGTGAACTTTCTATTTATTCATGGATACTTTTTCGTAATATTAACTTTCTAGCATAGTTAAAAACTCAATTTAGAGTTTTAACTATGGTAAGAATTTAAGCAATAAAAGCTTATTTACGTAGACGAAGGACACTTCTTCAAGTTCTTTCACAGGAGTACTCGAAGATCAGGTACACGAACGCTGAAACAGAATTCGTTTGTACCGACAGTTTATGAAAGAAAATTATACGAGCTTAAATTACATCAGGCTATGAGAGTGCTCCCATGAAAGAAGTTGCAATTTTCATGAAATATGAACGCAATACGCAAACGCAAACGCGAACGCCTATACAATTTGATTGCGACAGAGATATCCTCGCGACATTCTTCTGAGCTCTATCGGACTAAACGCGAATTAAACACGGTGTATCATCACGGTTCGTCGAACTCACTGAGCTTTATCTCTGTGTTACTATTCATACATATGTAATATAGCGATCGTTCAATAAATATATATACAGAAAACGGGAAAAGCTCTAACTGCACTCTGTAGAGTATTGGTAAATGTATTTTGCTTGGTTTAATCCCATTTAATATAGCTGCATAAAACTTAACATATAATTATTTATATATTATATGTATATGTGAAAAAAAACTTCACCTTCATCGATTTTCCTATATTCAGTCGTTCGATATATTCTTCCGTGACTTAATTTTTATTAATTGGCAATCGTTTATGTACAATATCTGGAATGAATCAAGTACAAGATATAGTACAAAAAGAAGAGTTAAGGGAGGGGGCTAATTCTTGAGGGGTTACAGGTACAACGAGGAACAGTAATGTATAAGTAGTCTGTGCTTAATTTTCCCTTTGCTTCACTGGAATTAACAAAATACTAGATTAATGATTAAATAAAAGTAGTGAATTTTGTTTATATGCATAAAACACAGATTGTCGAGAGCTATGAAGAGTTGCTTCTTATTACAAAGTAGAAAAGAGATGTTCTTGCCTTTCTAGTGGATTTTACTTGCTGGCAGCCTATTTGCCGTAATTTCTGCTTACAGAAAATAAAAAAAACGTGTCAATAAAGTGAGTATCATATCAGACAAGACGAATTTGTGACCGATCAGTTAAGTACAAAAAGGAATCGTTTCGTCAGTGAACACTTTGGGCACAAGTAGATCTGCAAACATACATTTTTACAATGGCATCCTATCCATGATTTTCTTTTTTATATCACATATACGGAAGATTCGTCTCCAGTCATCGTTTCTGGTTGCCCTCCTATAGATCGATCATTAACTATGTTACTAATAAAAAAAAAAGAAAAAAGAGAAAAATGTTCACAAAGAAGTCACCGACTCTTTAGGAATCGTTTCATACTATACATTCACAACCAATCATTTAAAACTCTAGGAAAAATTAACAAATATAAAAAATCTCTCTCTCTATATATATATGTATCAGAAAATACAAGGTACAACTTGTAAGTGTATATTAAGGACCTAATACGAAGGCAAACGATAAAACCTCAAAGAGTCACGCGACCCAGATACATGAAGAAGTGAAGAGGATATTATAACGACGTTAAGAGAAAAGGATAAACAACAGAAGAATATGTGTTTGAAGAACAATAATCATTGTCAAGATCTGATATATAATGTCTAATAAAACACTCCGACACCATTGTGCTCCATATGGAAGGCGATATCGAGAACGAAGAGGCCGTCCAGTCCTGCGGAAGGGGGAGGTCGATGTCGATAGCCAGGAAGAAATCGACTAAAAGATGATCATCACGTGCAAGTTGGATTAAAGCCTGTAGTTGCCAGTTTGTCAGAGGTATTTCTAATTGCACGCAACGTTATTCTACAAACTCGACGGCCTCACTCTTTGCGATTTCACGATCGTCCAATCCCACAGTCCGTCTCTTCGCACGAACTGAAGAAGATGTACTGTCATCATCATGCCACGCGACGTCCCTGCAAAGAAAATCTCGTTTCCTGAATACTTGTTTCTCTGGGTGTTATGCTCGGGGCATAAAAATCAAAAAGATTGCAAATTATGTTTTGTTTTTCTTTCCTACGCACGAACCAGTCGTACGTAGTGCATATGTGTTACGTTGGCATGCATATGATGTATATATATATATATATATATATATATGTATATATGTTTGTTGTCATGCGATCGTAATAACGATATATGTGCCTAATAGTAGAGATAGCAATGATGGTATCGGTAATAATAATAATATAGTCTATTGATTTGTACTTCATGAAAAATAATAGAGAAGAAAGTAAGAAAGAATATAGATTGAATTTCGTAGCTGAGTGTAAGGTTACACGTGCGCGAAAAGAATTCGTTCTGAGAGCCAGGTGAAGAAACATTGATGCGGGGCGCGATTCATGGAACATACATGTTTTTCTCGATATCAAACCATGCCATAGACCTACACGAACGGAATAATATATCTTTAGTCGTATATTGCCTCCAGACGAATTCTTTCCTTTTTTTCTGTAACTGTACTTTATATATGCACGTATACGCGAGTAACAGCTTCGATTCCAATTGTAAGGACGCATTTATGCTTTCGCAATGGCGCATACATCACAAAATTGTCGAGATCAGAATTTTTTAATTGAGTTTCGTGTCTTGAAACATAAAATTTGCTTGCGATATTATTCTTTAAATGTTCGTGAAACGTACGATTGAATATCAACAGCGTCCCAACAAGAGTACAAGAAGATAAAAAAGAACCTATAGATATATAAAGACATATACACAATTACACGAAAACGTATATGTATATGGGATTAAAGATATTTTATAAGGAAAGAATATATACGAGTATCGACGTGCTAATCGTTGGGTAATTTGTCGTGCAGAAGGCGCGACACGTTACGAGAGTATTCTATACGCGTGGTAACTGATACCAATTTATCGAACGATAACAAGCAATACAGGATTAATACGAACAAGGTTGCGTAACTTTGGTCTCTTTATAGTTATTATCATGAATCGTTCCAATAAAAATGAGAGTAGAGATAAAGAGACAGTAGCTAGCACCGGTCAAACAATAAAGAAAAAATATCATTCCCGGATCAGAAAAGAAGCAACTGATCTTTTTCTCTTTCTCGAAATTACGCTCTTACGTATGCTATGACAACGATCTAGAACTGGTCAACTTTGGAGTTGCGCTCGCGCAAATTACTATTTCTTCATAGTTACTTTCCCATATTAAGCGGTTAGGATTGGAACGTATCACGCGATATCGAAACTTTTCCACAGAAAAATAATAACGTTAATTTCGAATAGAAGTTTCGAGACAAACAGTATAAGAAAACTATTGCGTATCGACTGTTCAAGATAGCGCGCACGATTGTGACCAACATTCCACTCAAAACCGCTAAACGCGCATCTAGTTTCGTCTTTTTAATTTCTTAGAACTTATCATCCTTTTTCTAAGCTACGCTCTTCGTTATATCTTGCGTTACTTATTTAAAGCCCCTCGATTCACCCCAACTAAAGAGAAAAACCTCAATAAAAGAATCTCGTAAATTCGTACAACAATTGATGTGAGTTCAAAGAAACGAGAGTATTATACAGAAAAAAGTTAGAGAGAAAATAAGAAAGGATACGCGAAAAGGGAGTGGTTACTAAGAGAGAAAGAGGAACGGACGAGACCAGCGAGATTTGGTCAACTCGAAGGTGGAAACTTATCTTGACGGACATCCTCGGCTGATGGTAGCCAAGTTCCAGGAAAGAGGAAGAGGAGGAGAAGGAAGATGACGATCGTGAAGAAGACGTATTGACGATCTCCAAATTGATACAGAGCTTGGGGAAACTTTGGAACGAACATCCATCATATCTTGATTCCTGATCTTCGAATACGTTCGGCAAACACTTAGCCTATGAATTGTCTCTCTCGCACGGTTATTCTGTGTGTTTCTATGTATTGTCTGTTCTGCACGTTGCAATCTGAAACGAGAGGAAACAAGAACTGTAGTCAAACAAGACTGTTAGCTTCATAATGAATTGTTCAACGAGTCATGCAGTGTAAAGGTCACCGCTACGGTAGGCCTGCGACACTCGATGACGATTGTTATTTTAGCTTCTCTGACTTACGTTGCTGACTTTAAAACATTGGATAAATTTGTTGATTTCGATAATATTGTTTATGTGACAAATGCGATACAAAAATATGATAGGCAATGTGTTTTCCGTTGCAAATGTATGTAGATATACAAAAACAGGCAAATTTAATGCTTATATCCGAGTTTGTTTTTAGAATCCTTATAAATCTTTATGATTTAAGTGCTTTGTTTACTTGAGCATATGCAGATGTTTGTAGTTATGTCTCCGTTATGACAAAGGTCGGAGTATTTATCAGTGACGTAATTAAGTTGCATTATCAATGAATTATGTCCTTATCTGTATCGTTCATTTTCGACGGATAAGTAACAAATTCGTGACAGAGTACATGCTTAATTACTCGTAATTTTTCAAGTGGCTTGTTGAATAATTATAGTTTCTATTGAGATTTTTATGGTAAAATATCTATATTGAAATTAGGTAACGACCGCGTTCACAAAAACGCACGCCTTCGAAAAAGTAAATGTAGTGCGAATAACAATTCGGTCGAGATTATCCAGTCAACCCACGCGTCTAGACGTCTTAAAGTTTTTACAAAGCTTACGAGGCGTGGTATGGCATGACTACAATGCAACGTGAAGCCGATACGGTATATGATCCTGTGCCACCACTTTTCAACCGCGCCTCAACCGGTGCAAGTGTGTATTAGCTTGCATTTACATCGTATTAGGTTGTCCCAAAAGTTTCTTCCGTTTTATAAGGGAATAATAAATGCACAACATTTTTCTATTGAAACAAAATGGATCATACTTAATTCGATAAAATAATATAAAACAAAAAATGTCGATGAAACTTTTAGGACAACCTAACAGGTATTTAGGTACGTACCTAAAGAGCAAATTCGAATACGGGAAGATGGAGGGACGGCTTTTAGAACAAATAATTTATAGTTGCTAGAATTTTTAACAGTATTTTAAGAAACGCGTGTTTTTGCTTTCGAGCCTTGAACTAAATTTTTTTATAGTGGTCACTGGGTTATTTTGATTCGTTGGCGAAACGGTAACGATCTTTTAATTTATTGTTCGACGTCACCTGTTCGCAAAAACCGACTCGACGTTATGGACCGATTTAACTATAAAGTGAAGTAGGTTAATATGCGGGAACAGGGCTCAGATTTCGCAAGTTTTCTTGCAGGTCTCCGGCTAAGTTGAACACAGCAACATTTTGTCTCGCGTTTACGTCCAGTCTACTTGAAAGATTCACATGAATCAGGGAGGTATATTTCCAATGTACAGACTACTTTATGCTAATACGTATGTAGAATGTGTTCGCCTTTGTCGGACAGCTGGCAGTAGGCCAAGGATTCGGCTGCCGATTCTTTTGACCGTGAAATAATTCGCAATGTATAAAGTGTTCCAAGGCACTCTTAAATTGTCGCCTTGGTGAAATACTTAGAAAGGAACACGGAAGAACTATGAGTACTATTAAGGCGTTGATGGGAAAACTTTACCAATAAAGTAGAGCGTGTAAGAGCTTGCTCGTATTTACCCTATGACTTTGATATTATACATATTTACGTAATGATTATACACGCGTAAGAAAATAAACGGCGAATTAACACTTGATCATTAAATTATGGTCAATGTTTTTAAATTAGTACGGATTAACTGCGGCAAATTTGTTGATAACAGTATCTTTGATTGAATTCGTGTGACCTAAAAGAAGTTCATTCGCACTCGACGAGGCAAGTGTCCTCCGCTTGTGGAACTTACGACTTAAAGGGACTTTCACATTTGCCTACACTAAATTTCAGATAACCAAGTATGTATACTGAATCTATTTAAAAAATACTATAATAAAGAATATTGCTAGTTCATAGAAATATTCATAATTTAGTACACAGAGTAACTGTATTGTACCATTGCATTTAGTAACTATTTTATGATCTACTCCTTCGAAACATTAACTTATAAATATTCGTATCCCTTCTAACTATGAAAACTGATATATTTTCTATGACTATCACCAGTATCTAATACCACCTTGAATAAGTCTGGTGTGACCGTGTATAAAATTGACTTAACGAACGAGAAGAAGAGGAAATGAAGCGAGGACGAAGAAATGAATGTATCTTGTCACGCGTGGTAACAACCTTTAGTTAAGGCGATTAGAGTCAGGCGACTCGCCGGTCGCGGTTGTTATCGTCGCACCACGCCAGATTGTTATTTATAGAGAGAAAGTTTTAAGCGTATATATGCTGTGAGTGCAAGGACGGAGAAAAGATACATGCTAACGCGGCATGCTAATTCTTCACAAATTTTCAAGACAGTTTAGGCTTTAGAAATGATCTCCGACACGCTATTCACGGCTCGAATCGCAGAATTATGCTGATTGCGGGGCCAGTGGCATTGTCGCTCGTTTCCCTTTCCTTCTCCTTCGATTCTCTTTCGAAACACACGCAAGGACGCCTTTATAAAAATACGCGCGTGACCTGTACACATGTATTGCTAGCTCTATAAGTTATCTTACACTTGTTCTCTCAACGTGACTTTGCGAAAGTTTCACGTTATCTTCTGGTATTAATAAATTGTCAATGAATCGATCTATTGTTTATCGCTAATCAATTGGTCTATTATCTATCTTCTGTATCTTCATTAATAACAAGTAGATTTCGAGCTTACAGAACTGACTGTGTTTCTGATCTTGCTTCCCTATTAAGGAAAATTCACGAATAAAGAATTTTCACTCGCAAAATTAGTCAAATATCGTACACAAATCGTTGGAGAATCATTATACATGTACAGTAAGGTGTACAAGATCAACTTACCATATATGTAATGCGACTAGTGCCTCCTTTCTCGCTTGTTCCGCGCTATCAACCTCCGATTCTCTCCCTTCTATGCAAGCATGTCCTTCCACAATTTGATCTCAATTGTAGTCCATCGCTTCCCTCCTTTTACCATTGTTCTCTTCTCCGTTCTCTTGTTCCTGGTGCTCGTGTATACTACGCGCTCTCATATAGATAGACACGTAATTCGTACGATCGTTTTGTGTATGTCACGTGTGTTACATGCGTTTTTCCCCCTCGTCTCGCATGATCTGCGTCTCGTGATCATTAAACCAAGCAGACTGGAAGAATTCGTACGACTTTCGTACATCGTTTGTGACCAGTGACGAAAATTCACCAGTATGGAGCGTCGTTCGCGAGATGCTGCCAGGACGCGAACTCACTCCACGTACGCACGTTCACCCTAGTCGCGTCTGTGATTCGAGATATGCTGTCTCGCATGCCGTTGCTCGAGAAGCCCTCGCAGGTTGTCGTCAGGATATCGTACCGTTTGGCAGGTGCTCGTGGCTGCGATGTGCAAAGTGTTTTTTATATACTATATTCGTTTACTGTAGATCATGTACTGTTTACATAGTAGAGTGCACGATGGTCTAGTTGTGATACGAGTTATGTACTTTCTAATAGCCTTGGATCATATATTTGTTATAAAGTAATTAATAATATAATAAATGACATAGGAAAGGAATCTACACTGTTGGCTATAAGTCTTAGAACATACAAATTGAATGGTTTTTACTATTTTCACTTTCTAGTTGTTTTATTATGAATCTGTTATTTCATACGTAAGGTACTAAATAAAATAAAATTTTTTAAAATTTACTAATAAACGAAAGTTGTATCTTAATACTTGTGATCGCTAATGTAGATTTACATTTTTATAAAAATTTAAAAAATTAGATATACATACCTCCAATTTTTTGCGGACGATGAAGTTCTTTCCATCGTTGTTGTCCCAGTATTCCTTTCCATCAGTACGATATCGTACACAGAACTCTATCATATTCGATTTTAACGGTAGAGTTAATCGAAAGCGGAAAGTGTCGTATAAGATCAGCGCGGGCGAACCAGGTTGTTCGACGTAGGTGCAATGAACGTCCTCGTGTGTCTTCCAGGAGTCATTGCTCGCCCTGACCACGACTTCCTTGTCATACGCCAGATTACGTACCTTGATGGTACCCACTAGACACTGATCTGTTTCTTTCACTATCACGTTTTCCAGGCTGACATTCTCCTGATCAAGTTTCTGGCGAAAGGCGAGGTAATCGCTAGCTGGCTGGGGGAAAGTTACTTGCCAAGGTGACACGAGTTCTGTAAATTGATCATTCTCAATTTTCGAATTTAAAAATCGTCCAGTTAGTCCAGCCAGGTAAGTGGTACTCCACAGAGGAGGTACGTTGCTGGGCTCCGACATCACCCGAACCTAAAAATCACATAACAGAAGCACATGAAGTATCAGTAGCAGACACGTAGATTTTCCAAAATATAAAATATTGTATCTTCTAAACAATCTGTAATATACATGAATAATATTACTAGAGGAGTAAAGTTAAATTAGCTAACAATAAATTATTAAGTTTCCGCCACTCGAATCGTTTAGATAAAATTTGATTAATGCTTTATTAACGTCGAATGAACAAAACGAGACCGTATACAAGTTTCATAGTATAAAAAAATATTTTAAAAATTAGGTTGTTAAAATTTTCTTTATTTATATTTTATATACAGGGCTTATTTATATTTTATATACATGTATATTATATTTTATATACAGGGTGGTTGGTAACTGCTGGTACAAGCGGAGTCATGCAACACGAATTCCAGTTTCGACAGAGTGCTCGGCAAAAGCTTTCTGCGATGCGAAATTGGATGCCATTCTCCAACTCGCGACCGAAAAACTTTTCGATGAACGAATACGACAACGATCTTAATTTTCAAGTAATCTATTATCAGAGAGTGTTATATGCTAATTTAGAAAGTCGATATTAACACGTGCCGTACATATTTAGATCGTAGATACGAAAGGGAAATTTTTAATAACGTGTTGTTAACGTTGAGTAAGAAATGGATGTAATTGTTATTTATGTGAAAATTTTCAGTAAACATTTTTGTATTTTACTTGAGCGAATATTCGGTAAAAATTTTGGTAGAAATAAATTTAAAAAGTTAGATCGTTTAATTTATTTCATCTACTATCATGCAATGTGTTTGCGGATTGGGTCAATTAAAAATATTCTAAAAGATAATCCAAAGTAGAAAATATTTCAATATTCTAAAGAACAAACAATTCTTTTCCAGATCTAAATGTGTTCCATAGCGATGCCTGCTGAGCTACTTCTGGGGCATAGTCCTCCAGTGTACAGCTCGCTTCTGTACAGTCCCTTGGTAGCACCGACGATTGCCAGCAGATCGGTGCCACCTAGAATAAGGCCATGCTTGTCATCTGGTTCCTTGGCCATAGATAGCATTCGCAACAGCAACGATGGCGGTAGTAATAAGCAGAAGAAGAGGGTAGTGTTTGCTGATGATCGTGGCCGTCCTCTTACTCAGGTACTCGTTCTTAATTCCTATCTTGTACTAATTGTGAAAGGAAATAAAATAATCCTGTCTGTAACGCAAGCTTTACTTGACTTCCTACTTGTCTTTGAACTTTCTCGCGATATATTTTCTTGTCTTTTATATCTTTGCAAACCAATTATTTTCCAATTTTTATTAATATTATATATACAGGGTGGTTGGTAACTGGTGGTACAAGCGGAAAGGGGGTGAAAAAAAATTAAAAAAAAATTTTTTTTTAATTTTTTTTCACCCCCTTTCCGCTTGTACCACCAGTTACCAACCACCCTGTATATATAATATTAATAAAAATTGGAAAATAATTGGTTTGCAAAGATATAAAAGACAAGAAAATATATCGCGAGAAAGTTCAAAGACAAGTAGGAAGTCAAGTAAAGCTTGCGTTACAGACAGGATTATTTTATTTCCTTTCACAATTAGTACAAGATAGGAATTAAGAACGAGTACCTGAGTAAGAGGACGGCCACGATCATCAGCAAACACTACCCTCTTCTTCTGCTTATTACTACCGCCATCGTTGCTGTTGCGAATGCTATCTATGGCCAAGGAACCAGATGACAAGCATGGCCTTATTCTAGGTGGCACCGATCTGCTGGCAATCGTCGGTGCTACCAAGGGACTGTACAGAAGCGAGCTGTACACTGGAGGACTATGCCCCAGAAGTAGCTCAGCAGGCATCGCTATGGAACACATTTAGATCTGGAAAAGAATTGTTTGTTCTTTAGAATATTGAAATATTTTCTACTTTGGATTATCTTTTAGAATATTTTTAATTGACCCAATCCGCAAACACATTGCATGATAGTAGATGAAATAAATTAAACGATCTAACTTTTTAAATTTATTTCTACCAAAATTTTTACCGAATATTCGCTCAAGTAAAATACAAAAATGTTTACTGAAAATTTTCACATAAATAACAATTACATCCATTTCTTACTCAACGTTAACAACACGTTATTAAAAATTTCCCTTTCGTATCTACGATCTAAATATGTACGGCACGTGTTAATATCGACTTTCTAAATTAGCATATAACACTCTCTGATAATAGATTACTTGAAAATTAAGATCGTTGTCGTATTCGTTCATCGAAAAGTTTTTCGGTCGCGAGTTGGAGAATGGCATCCAATTTCGCATCGCAGAAAGCTTTTGCCGAGCACTCTGTCGAAACTGGAATTCGTGTTGCATGAATGATCAAATCGCCAAATCTTTAATAGCAAGGAACGTGCGCCGTTCACTGCCAAAAATTTCGCCAACAATATTACAAGACCGTGTGTTCGAATCACGTGAATCGTCATGCGTCATGATTTATCAGACAATCTTGTCTAAATCCGAAATTGTTCGACAAATATTTACAGATAGACGTAAGCGAATCTTAGAGGAAGATATAGAAGAAAGGAAACAAAGTTCACCTACCTATCGAAACTGTATCTTGCCTTGCAAAATACTCTACAAAGAAAAAAAGAAAAAAAAAAGAGAGAAAGAAATATCACCGTGTCACGGAATAATTTATAGAATTCGAATTCGAAACTTGCGTTGGTGATCGACTAAAGCCGTCAGTCAGATGCAACATCAAAGATATTCCTTGCTTTCGCTGAATAGCTCAGCTATTTTATTATTGATACTTAATTAATGGAATCGAGATATGATAATTCAGTTGTTTCTATACGAAAGAATAACACAGACTGAAAATTTTATACAACTCCATCACAGTGGAGTATTTTGCGCGACAGGGTAGACACATAGTGGTCATGTTACTCCTGGAGTGGAATTACGACTTTTAAATGTAGCAATAGTCTCTTCTCTCGTCCCTCGAGACTCGCTCTCGAACCAGACTCGACACGTACCAGACCGGAACCAAGCAAGTACGCGTGCACAACTAAGAAGCGTTATAGCAATGTCGTAAATCTGATGTTTCGAGTTTCAACCATATAAACTTATCGCGTCTTGTCTCCTATTTCTATTTCTGGTAAATTTTCTCTATCTCTATCAAATGTCACAACAATAGGGTTATCGTATATCTTCCATTCACGAATGTTTAATTTCTAGCAGTATATTGATACTTTGATTACTGATTATTATTATTGAATAATAATAATAATAATAACAACAATAATAACAATAATAACAATAATAATAATAATAATAACAATAATTGCAATTTCTAATATCTTTTTAAGAAATATTACGTAGCCACGATTAATTTGAAGAAAATGCTAGCAAAGAATTACTGGCAATTGAAATAAAAAGGAAATAATTTAAACGCAATATGACGTACAATATTGTCCACTGGCGTCATAAATAACAAAAGGTCGAGGTTAAAGTATACATTCCTTAAGCATTGTTTATCATTACGCTAACGAGGCGCCAGGGTCGAGCGCTGTGGTATAAGAAAAGTAACTTTGAAAAAGAAGGGAGAAAAAAGACTGACAATCTCTTATCTCATTTACTGTATATGCCCCACTTGGCGACACTTTCTACAACGGTTGCAACGCGCGTGTTATGATGATTTTTTAATTTTATTTTATTTTTCGTCGATATAAGGCTTATGCCGCAAATATATAAACAACAATATATTTTCAATGTTCCGGGATAAAATTTCCAGTTGTCATTGAATGTCGAACTCCTATAAATCGTTGCACAATAATTGTTGTTCTGCTGATAACTGATTAATTTAAGAAAAAAAGTTCGTACGGCGTACGAACAGCTAGACGAGAAACTTTCCATATTTAGATTTCATGCGATCTATGCTCTCGACACGACGAAAGTCTCCGTTTATGTAAGAATTTTCGAACAAATAGAATTTCTTGTAATTTACAGTTATCGTGGCTTGCGAAACTATTTGAACAATCCTTTTACTTCAAGTAATACAGAAAGATCTAGATACTTTGGAAAACTTGAGATACTTCGACAATGATGTAAAAAGAGATTGATCTTTGGGAAACATCGACTCGAATTTTAGATCGATGAAGTATCTATCTATCTGTTTAATCTTATTATGCATTTATCAATATTAACTATGTACGCGTGTATTTTATTTATTTCAACCTGATGACACCAAACGTCCAAATTAATTAGAATGATTGCTTCGTTTTCTTTATCACATAGAAGCCGAAATATGGCGATACGAATTTTTCAAGCGCAAAATCTTAATTCTCGCTGATAAACTTGCGTGTCCTCGTTACACTAGGGAACCACGTCGCTGTTCTCGATACCGATTGGAAGCGATTACTTTCATTGGAAGCGCCAATTCCATAATTACCATTCCGACTACTAAGGAAAAAATCCATAAAAATGCGCGTTGGAGGCGCAACATGTTTTCGTGGCAGATCTGAAACCTATGAAATGCTATTATCGATTTATAGAAGACAACATCACAGACAACAAACATGAAGATTACAGGGAAGATCGATAAGTATACACGAAATATGATGTCTAAAATGCGATGATCAATAACTTTTGAGATCAATATTTTTGATGTAAGTATTTTGCAAGAGAACGCTACAAGGAAATGTAATAAGAAGATCCTTTTGATAATATGTAATTGTTTGGTAAGGTATTGGATTAAAACGATGCTCCAGTATTGAAAACGGAAAAGATTACGTGTCGTGTCTTTCTCTTGTATAGGTCTTTATATTTTTATGATGAAAGAAAATCGTACGTGTTAAATCAGTGATGTTTATAAGGAGTACGTGAAAGATCACAGAATGATGTAACAATTGCGTGAAGTAACTATACGCTCAATGATGAAATATACAGAATTGATAAAAAATCATCTATTTTTGTAGAAGAAAAAGTAGATGGAAAAATACAGGCTCGACTAGATAATAATCGATAGTCATGCTGGAGGCGATGCATCGCATTATAATATTTCATAATTCGCTGTTGGGAGTTTATATTGTAATAAGCGAATTACGTCCAACGTCTCTTAATCCAGTCCAGACAGTCTCTTAGTTTGACTATTTTGAATGTACATTCCTTTTTTCTACCATTGATAAGTATTCCGCGCCTACCACCGGGGTAAACACCGTTAGACTGGTTTTATATATAAATAGCAATTCGACATGTTCGATCGGATGGCATTAAAAGGTCAGTAAATTTGGACGAATGGTGTTGTCATGAATAAAGTATGTTCACATTTCGTGTCTCGAGAAGGAAAAGTGCGCAGTCGTAATGCTATTTCGGGTAGACCGCGATTAAAATTAGCGTGGCGCATCTTCAAAACGCTACATGCAACGAGACGTGTTCCGCCCTTGGAACAAGTCCAATTGTCTGACTTCTATGATACAGTAGGTACTATGTTAACTGGTTGAAATTCTGCTTCGTTATCTAGCCATTGTTCGCGATTTCTTGGAAATATAACTCCTTCAGTAACTGACCAGATAACGTTTTAACGTCTTACTAGACATTCGTAATAATTTTGTTATCAAATCTTACTAATAATCTATAAATCTATCTCATCGATAATTTACCAACTGAGAAACGATTTATTATATCGAACATGATACAGCCAAAAAGCCAGTTAGCGAGAACCACGCGCGAGTACATCATGATATATCTTATAGTGAAAAGTCTAAAAGACAACTAATGTAAATTCAAATGCATTTTCGAGGAAAAGGAAAATACGGTGTTCTATTGACTTTACGAAGTTATTTTATCGACCTATGAATGTATAGCAAATAATACATAGTCGTAAACGGTCTATAGGGCGAGCTACGTGAAAGCTAGCTGTTAGATACACGTGTGTATACAAATGATCTTAGCTTGTGACGTTTGGTCACCGGCTAACGATTGCTTAAAATAACCGTCTAATGGATCGAAAGGAAACCTGAACTATGTTTAACTATGTCTTTTTTACATGTTGTGTTTATTTAGTGTCGTATTTAATCTGAAGAAACTCGAATTGTTCATGTGTAATCATTGGTTACCAATGCGCTGCTTTTGAACTACAGTGCACTGTGCATGTGTTATTGATCCAGCCGTATTTATCCCACTTAAAGTATATTAAAATGAAAGATGTATACATTATTTGCCAATGAGTTTATACAAATACTTTTGCATAGGAATTAACGATGCAACGACATATAGATTGTCGTTAGAACAAACGAAGAACCACTGCAAGGCATACACGTTTCTCAGTCATTAATATTGATAAAATATTATTTTCAATCCTCTGTGAGAACGATTACGCGGAATTTATATTGAGAGGACGTTATCTAACGAGCCAGCCGATGCAAAAAGTAACGTATTTCAATACGATCGTTTCAGTTATAATGAAACTCGCTTCTATTGTTAATTTGCTATCAATCGGTAGAGATAAAAGGTCGTGGGTTATTGTGAGTCACGTGAGGAATTAGACTACGACTAATCCGATAAAGCTGGAAAGTATACGAGTCCTTGACTTATCATAGGAGACAGGAATTTCATAAAATTATTAAGTCAGAAACGTCGGTCACCGATAACATGACCAATGATAAACCCTTTTATGAGATAATTAATCAGCATATAATTACTTAATTAATAAATTGTTAAACAACGTATGAAACGTTTGCAGTTTCAGCAAAATGGCATCAAAATACGTATCTACGAGTTAAAGTCGGAAATAACATGAGACTTCTAACGCTGTAACGATATATTTAATAGAATATTGAGGCAAAAATGTCTACTGTTTGAAAAACATTGTATGATTCTGTTTA